GAGAGAGATCCCTTTTGCTGGTTCTCTCTCCAAATGCCCACAAAAGCTGGAGCCGCACCAGGGCCACGGCTGGAGCCAGGTTCTCCATCCCATTGCTCGAGCTGTCACTGCTGCCTCCTGGGGTCTGCACTGGTGGGAAGCCCAGGTGTGGGCCGTGGGCAGGTGAACCTGGCGCCTGCACCCCAGCCCTGTGGCTGACTTCTGATTGTGATTTTTCTATTCTTTATGCTGTTTGGGGTTACTTGATTTTGTGGGCTTTGTTTGTCTCCATTTTTCCTTTTCATTTTGTTTGGAGTTTATAGACTTGACTTCTATTCTTCAGTGGTTGCCACTGATTTTTTTTAAAAGGATTTGTTTATTTGTTTGAGAGGCAGAGTTATAGACAGAGAGAGGGAGAGACACAGAGAGAGGTCTTCCATCTTCTGCTTCACTCCCCAAATGGCTGCAGCAGCCAGAGCTGGGCTGATCCAAAGCCAAGAGTTTCTTCCGGGTCTCCCACATGGGTGCGGGGGCCCAAGGGCTTGGGCCATCTTCTACTGCTTTCCCAGGCCACAGCAGAGAGCTGGATCGGAAGTGCAACAGCTGGGACTTGAACTGGCGCCCACATGGGATGCTGACACTGATTTATTTATTTATTTAATCATGCATGGTCATCTTAACCAAGTCGAGAGTGAAAGAACTCTTTACTGTTTGTCTGCTTTGCTTAACAGTCAAGGACCTGAGAATACATTAGTTTAGTTATTTATTTATTTTTGACAGGCAGAGTAGACAGTGAGAGAGACAGAGAGAAAGGTCTTCCTTTGCCGTTGGTTCACCCCCCAATGGCCGCTGCAGCCGGTGCACCGCGCTGATCTGAAGCCAGGAGCCAGGTGCTTCTCCCGGTCTCCCATGCGGGTGCAGGGCCCAAGGACCTGGGCCATCCGCCACTGCCCTCCCGGCCACAGCAGAGAGCTGGACTGGAAGAGGAGCAACCGGGACAGAATTTAGTGCCCCGACTGGGACTAGAACCCAGGGTGCCGGCACTGCAGGCGGAGGATTAGCCTAGTGAGCCGCGGCGCCAGCCAAGAATACGTTAGTTTTTAAAAAGTTTTTATTAATTTGAAAGGCAGAGAGAGAGAGAGAGAGAGAGAGACAGGTCTTCCAACGCTGGTTCCCTCCCCAGATGCCTGCAATGGCCATGGCTGGGCCAGGACTCCACCCTGGTCTCCCATGTGGGTGGCAGGGACCCACGTACCTGAGCCGCCCACGGTGCACATCGGCAGGAAGCTGGCCCTGGAAGCCGAGCTGGACGGAAGCCGCCCCGGCCAGGACCCATGGCAGTCATCTCCCTGCTCCCCAGTACGGGCTGACGTATTTGTTGCTTTAGAAATTTGCACGAGGCACCCTTAGCCACCTTACAGCCAACACTTGGGTGGCGTTTGGGGCACTCACAGCGCTGAGCAATGGCCGCCGTGGCTGGGCTCCTGGTGCAGGCTGGGAAGCTCACCCCTCGGATGTCGCAGGGGCAGCTGGGAGTGCCCAACGCCTTCCCTGCCCTCGCTGGCTCGTGCGTTCCAGACGGTGCTCGGGGTTTACGCGTCCTATTCCTTAGTGTGTGTCTGAGCAGGGAGCAGGTGCCCGGAACGGGGGCAGGGGCAGCGATGCCGCCCCCATCTCCAGGGTGCCTGGTGGTCTCCCACGCCGGGAACTCACTCCCGGGGGTGGGATTCCGTGCTGTGCCCACGCTGGAGCTCTCGGAACTCACTCCCCGGGGTGGGATTCCATGCTGTGCTTACTCAGTACCCCAGTGCACGCTGGCTTCGAGTGCCTTTGGGACCCGTGGCAGCTAGCTTGCGCATTTGCAGGTGTTTTTGTGTGCAGGCGTCTTGGTGGCAAATCCCCACGGTTTCTGTTTCTTGCAAACGACTGCATCTCTCGCCCTGGCTCCTGCAGGCTCGCCAAGGACAAGGTGGGGCTTGGCGGGTAGGGTTCTGGAGCTCCTGGGGCCGGTGATCCCCCTCTGCTGCTGCCTGGAACCCGAGTGTTTGTGGTTGCTCCTCCCTGTACCTGAGTCGTTCTCTCTCTCATCCCTTCTCCTGCCTTCTCTTTGGGGCACTCTGTAATTTATCTGCTATGTGTCTAGACAACGGTTTGCATTATTATCTTGCTTGGAATGCATTAGGCTTCCTAAGTCCACGCTTTGAACAGTTTTGTCCCGGTTTGCAGTATTGTTTTCCCTCTGCTCTCCTTGTCCCCTCTGGGGGAATGACCAATAAATAAATAAATAAATACTTTTTTAAAAGTCCACAAATATTGATTTTTATAAACTTTGAATCTTGATTTTAATAAACTTTGAATTCCACTTGCCGCAAACTTTTTGCAAGTACCTTCCTGCATAAAATTGATGTATCTAATTCCACGAACGTTTGTCAGAATATTTGCTGATTTCCACTCTAGTTGTAGGGTGAGCTGTGGGTTCTGTAGAAATGCCCTTTTTAAAGCCAGACCCCTGGGGAGTTTCTGGGCTCTGTCGTGGTTTAAGCTTGATCACCTGTGGGCAGACAAGGTGCTGCATGTAGCGGACCCCTGGAATGTGTGGGCACGTCCTGCATAGCTCAGTGCCTACCTCATTTCTGCAAATGCTGAGTGTGGTTTGTTAATTGAGGTGTACTTCAAAACATTCCTAGGGGCTGGCACTGTGGCATAGTAGGCTAAGCCTTTGCCTACAGCACCAGTATCCCATATGGACACCGGTTCAAGCCCTGGCTGCTCCTTTTTGGATCCAGCCCCCTGCTAATGCTCCTGGGAGAGCAGTAGAAGATGGCCCAAGTGCTTGGGCCCCTGCACCCACGTGGGAGACCTGGAAGAAGCTCCTGGCTTTGGATTGGCCCAGCTCTGGCCTTTGCTGCCATTTGGAGAGTGAACCAGTGTGTCTCTCTGTGTCTTCCTCCCTGTTTTTGTAACTCTGCCTGTCAAATAAATAAATAAAAATCTTTAAAAAAAGAAAAAGACCGGGAAGGGACGTGGGAAAACTTTCCAGAGCGCCTGGGTCTTTCTGTAACTTTACTGTAAGGAGGGCTCCCCGGGTGTGCACTTGTGGGCATCTGGGGAGGGAACCAGTGGATGGAAGACCTCTGTCTGTCTCTGACTGTCCATCTTTCAAATAAAATTAGAAATTTTTAAAAGCTTTTTTTAAAGATAGAGTTACAGAGAGAGAGAGAGAGAGAGAGAGAGAGAGAGAGAGAGTGTGTCTTCCATCTGCTGGTTCACTCCCCAAATGGCAGCAATGGCCGGAGCTGGGCTCATCCGAAGCCAGGAGCCAGGAGCTTCTTCCAGGTCTCCCACGTGGGTGCAGGGGCTCAAGGACTTGGGCCATCTTCCACTGCTTTCCCAGGCCACGGCAGAGAGCTGGATTGGAAGAAGAGCAGCTGGGACTCGAACTGGCGCCCATATGGGATGCGGCACTGCAGGCGGAGGCTTAGCCTACAATGGCACAGCGCTGCCCCCCTCCCAATCTGCTTCTCTACCTGCTCCCACCCATCCCAGCGGCCAGGCATGTATGGTGCCTGCCCTGGAACTTCACACGCAGGGAGCACAGGGTGCGCGCTCTCCCGTGTGGTCTTGACCCGGCGCTGCGGTTCTGCGAGCCGAATGCCAGTCGTTCCCTCACTGCAGAGTGTGGATGCCATGCTCCGTTTCTTCACTTGCCTACAGGTGCACGTTTCCTTGGATGCCATTCGGGTATTGGGGGCAAAGCTACTACAAACATATTCTTAGGCAAGTCTTCTTTTTTATGGCTCTTATCTGAATGCCTAAGAGTGGACTTGCTGATCGCCGGGCAGAGCAGGCTTCAGAGAGTTCATGGAGAAACGGAATTCAAAGATAAGCTTATTTCAGTGCAAACAAAGTTTCGAAATTCACACACAGGTTTTTTTTTTTTTTAATTTTCTGCATTCCCCATAAACTTTTTAAAAAAGGTTTATTTATTTATTTGAGAGGCAGAGTCACAAAGAGGCAAAGGCAGAGAGAGCGAGAGAGAGAGAGAGAGAGCAAGAGTGAGCGAACTCATCCCCTATCCCTTGGTTCACTCCCCAAATGCCCAAAATGGCTGCAGATTGAACCAGAGCCAACATCAGGACACAGGGACCCAAGCCAGGCTTCCCAGGTGCGTGGCAGGGACCCGGCTCCTTGAGACATCACTGCCACCTGCTGGGAGTGGCCTTAGCGGGCTGCTGACCTCCCACCCAGCCTCTCCCGTGAGAGATGTGGGCGTCCCAGGCAACACCTTAGCCACTACACCAGGTGCCTGTCCCTGTCCCATCAGGTTCTAAAAATCCCACTGGGGCTGGTGCTGTGGTGTAATAGGTTAATCCTCCACCTGCGGTGCCGGCATCCCATATGGGCAACAGTTCCAGTCCCAGCTGCTCCTCTTCCAATCCAGCTCCCTGATGATGGCCTGGGAGAGCAGTAAAGATGCCCTAGTGCTTGGGCCCCTGCACCCACGTGGGAGACCCGGAAGAAGCTCCTGGCTCCTGGCTTTGGATTGGCACAGCTCTGGCCATTGCAGCCATTTGGGGGAGTGAACCACTGGATGGAAGATCTCTCTCTCTCTCTCTCTCTCACTCAAGGTCTTCTCTCTATCCATACCTGGCTCTCTCACTCTCAACAGCCTTCTCCAAGGCCCTCCCACCAGCCTCCAGGCACAGCAAACTGAAACCCCTTAGAATGGGGTTAAGAAGAGAGACAGGAAGATGGGCCAACCAACGCCAGCATAGCGAAAGTAAGCAAGAAACTCCCAGTTCAAGCGTGGGCGGCGCGGGCTCACAGGAGCTGGACGCCGTCCTCAGAACTGTTCTCTCTGAACTTCCCAGGGGAGTGGCTGTTCCTCCAGACACCTGTGGCCCTCCTGGTGGGCGTTCCCGTTTCTCAGATGGGGAAGCTGATACCTGAGGAGGGAACGCCTTTTTCTGGAACCCCTTGAATGGGAGAGGAGGCAAAGAGGACACTGCGACCAGACCCTGTGCTTCTGTGAGATTTTTATTGTGATCCAGGGAAGGTGAACCACGAGCGAAGGCCACCTTCTCCATGCTGTGCCGGTGCTGGGCCACCAGGGGGCACTGTGCACAAGACCAGAGCCCTGGCGGTGTGGACTCCGGGGCTGGGGCTGAGGGAGGCAGGGCGGGACATCCCCCTGAATTCCTTCCGCAGCCTGTGTCTGGGGGTCGGTATCAAGGGTCCCAACTCCCGTGGCTAGCTGGTCCGGATGACTTCCTCTATCCAGGTTCTGAACTTGTGGAGGTTGGTGTAGACACTTGGGAAGCCTGGCTGACCACACTGGGCTTGGCCGAATGACACCAGGCCCTGCAGGGACCCATTGCAGATCAGGGGCCCCCCAGAGTCACCCTGTTGCACAGAGAGAGAGGGAGAGAGGGAGAGAGACGGGGCTGGACGTGGGATCAGGGAGGAGCCCCACGAGACCAGGGAGAGACACAGGTGCGTAGAACCTAACAGTGCCCCCCCCCATCCCCGGGTCCTGGCTGCCTCTCCCTGGGGGTTGCTGGATCTGTCTCTCCTGTCTCCCTGTGGCTCGTGGCCGCTTCTCCGTCACTCAACCTCTCTGTGCCTCTTCCCAGGGTAGGAGATTCCCCTTGCATTTCCTGCCTGTGTCTCTTGCTCCTGCCTGCTCCGGACCTGCACCCCCGCCCGCAGTGTCTCCCTGTTTCTGTCTCCCTGCCCTTGCTCCCCTGTCCATCCTCCCCTTCCCTGTCGCCGTCCCCTGGGTCTGCCCCCGAGCCCCCTGTGCTGCCCGTCAGGGTCTCACGTTGCAAGAATCCTTGTGGTCCAGGCCCCCACCCGCGCACAGCATGCTGGGGTGGTACACGGAGCCGTAGAAGGACCGGCAGAGCTCCTCGGAGACCAGCGTGATGTTTACAGCACTGCAGCACACCGGGCAGCCTGCCTGGGACACACAGCGCGGCCTCAGCCTCTCTCGCTGGGCGGGGGACCCCTGGGGAGGCGAGGGAGGGGGGCGGGGGCGCGTGCGAACCCTCAGGGGCTCACCGTTCTGCTGCAAACCCCAGCCCGACACGAGGCAGGAGTCGCCCGCGGCCGGGCACCGGGAGGCGACCCTGACGGTGCGGATGGTGGGCGACTGGAGCACCGGCCGCGCCAGCTTGATGAGCATGAGGTCATTGGCGAGGAAGGGGCTATTGTACTGCGGGTGCTGGATGGACAGCGTGGCCTCCATCATCCAGCTGCCCGGCTCTCGCTGGGCCTCCAGGCTGTGCAGGCCCAGCCCCACGGTGTAGGCCCTGGGGACCAGGGCACGGTAAGCTCAGGGCCACCCCGGTCCCGGCTGCATCCGGGAAACAGAGCCCGCCTGGGGGGTGGGTGGGTTCCCCGACCCGAGGCTCCTGGGCTCTTCCGGGGGCAGCCCCCCTCCAGTTCTCTGGCCCCTCCCCTGCACTCACTCCTGCACGCAGTGCGCGGCTGACAGCACCCACTGCGGGTGCACCAGGACGCCCGAGCAGAAGAACTCGTTGTCGGCGAACAGGGCGGCCTGCCAGGGCTGCGAGTACGGGTGGCAGTCCTCGCCGTTGATGATCTGGCTTCCGGTGCCGGTGCCGGAGACCTGGGGTGCTGGGGGCGGAGTCAGGGCTGGGGGCGGGGCCGAGCGTGCTGGGGGTGGAGTTAGAGGACGGGGGCAGGCCCAGGGCCTCTAGGGGAGGAGTCTCGGCCTGGGGGCGTGGTCTCCATCAGGACCTGGGGTGGAGCGGGCCTGGGCTCCTGGTTCTGGGGGTGGTGTTGGAGGAAGGGGGAGAGTCCAGGGCCTCTGGGGGCGTGGTCTTCGTCAGGATCCTGGGGGCGGAGCCAGGGGTGGGGCGGAGCCCCCTGTGCAGAGGCGTGGTCGGGGCTCTAGGGTGGGGGTTAAGGCTCAGGGGGCTGAGACCGCGCGCGGGAGGCAGGCTCACTGGTCGCGAGCAGCACCGAGTCGCAGACCGGTCAGGGGGCCTCGCTCCTCTTCTCTCGCACACAGGGGCCGCTCCGGGCACAGCCTCGCAGGCCGGCCCCTGGCGCGAGGGTAGGCACAGCCGGGTCGCGCGGCGCGGTCCCCTGGCCCTCGGAGTGGCGCCTTCCCCGACCCAGCCCGACCCCAGCCAAGAGCCGGCGCGCCGGGGCAGCCGGCACGGACTCCCCGCCACGGCGACCCCCACCCCCACTCCGCACAAGCCCCCCGCTCCCATCCCCCCCCCCCCTTCCTCTTCGCCTCAGCATCGCCAGCGGCTGCCTGTCCCCCGTGTGTGTCCCCGCCGGCTGCACCTGTACCGTCGCGAGCGGGGCTACCCCGAGTCACACCCGAGCACTAACACACACTGCGCCCTGGGGCGAGACGCGCACACGCAGATACCTGTGACACCAAGGGCTAGCAGGCACCCCAGGAGCCAGCCCCAGGGACGTCCCAGCGTGGCCATCGCGTCAGCACCTGGCGATGAGGACCGGGCTCAGATGTGTGCGAGCACTCGCAGCTGGGGCCTCGCCAGCCCCCTCGCTCTCCCTCCCGGTCGCTGGACCTACAAGAACCTACACGAAGCCCCACCCCACCCCACCCGGGACCCGGAGCCCAGAGAGACAGAGCGAGAGAGAAAAGGAGAGAGGGAGAGGGAGAAAGAGAGCGAGAGCGAGCGAGCTGCAGAGAGTGTGCAGAATAAAGAACAGAGGAAGTGGGGGAGGGGTGCCCAGGGAGCCAGGGCATTAGGGAGGTGAGACCCCTGCCAGGCTGAGCCCGAGACAGGGGGAGAGACTCAGAGAGAGAGAGTCGGAGACGCTGCTAAGCAGAGAGACCTAGAAGCAGAGGAGAAGTGGCCGCTGGGTGGTAATGGGACCAGGGACCCTGCAGCGTCCAGGCGGGGGCCAGCGAGCCTCTGACCTGGCGCCTGGCTCTCGGCTTCTGCGGCAGAGCTGAGCGGAGCCTGGTGCCTCCTGCTGGCACCCCGTGGGGCTTATAAGCACCCCGCCTGGGCTGGCCTGCCCCCCGGGGACGCATTCCAGGGGTCAGGGGCAGGAAGCTCCAGCTCAGCTCTCTGGGGCTGCCCTGGTCCTGGGCGGGGTCCGGGGCCCCGGGGAGGAGACGGACCCCTGCCCGGGCTTTGGGCCTCTCTCTCTCATCCTTTCCGAAATTTTCTTTTGTTGTCTCTTCCCGTCTCAAGCTTTTTTCCCTCTAATTGTCTTTCATTACATCTCTCTCTCGCCCTCCGTCCCGGGTCCACTCCTCCGTCTCTCCCTTTCTGAGCAGGGCCAGCAGAACCCCGGGGATCCCAGTCCAGCTTGCATCCCCCACTGCCTTTGGGATCGCGGCAGGGGGGCCGCGCCCGACCCGGTAAACCTGCTTGCCGAACTATTAAAATTCAGGATAAGCAATTCTGTTCCCTCCGGAGTGGACACAAAGTTACAATCCCCGGCAGGCAAAGCGCCCCGGCGGGCCACAGGCGCTACCCCCAGGAGGCACCAGGTCCTGCTGCAGACCCTGCTGGCGGCACCGAAGGGACCGGCGGAGCCCCCTCCTCCATGGGGCGCCTTCCTGGGGCGGGAGACATAAGAACAAGGCTCACATAGGGCGGTGGTCGTGGTCTTGGGCCCGAGGGCCAAGGGCGGTGAGGAGCAGAATGGAGGGCGCAGGCCGAGCGCGGTGCAGGGCCCGGGGCTGCGGGAGCGGGGAACCGCTGGGCGGGTGGTGCTGTGTGCGGTTCAAGGCCCGGGGCTGCGGGGTTTGGGTTCCCCGTTCCGCGCGACGCGGGAGGGGGCGCGACACGATCTGTATTTGCTTTCAACAACACCCCGCGCGGAGCGGGGTGCGGGGAGAGGCCGTGGCGCACCGAGCAGGCGCGGGGTTTCTTCCGCAGGCACAGCCACAGCCACAGAGCCGGTGCGCGCGCGGGGGGGGGGGTCGTGGGGGCCAGGGAGGAGCTGGCGGTTGCGGCGCAGGGCCGGGGGGGGGGTGCCGGGGACGCCTCCCCGGGGGTGGAGGGGGTAGGGGGATGATGTCACCGGGGAGTGGGCGTGCGGCGGGGCCGCGCCCTCGAGGGGCGCCGCGGGCGGTGGGGTGCGCGGGCTGCGGCTCGGCTCGGCCTTTCCCCTTGGCCTGCCTCTTTCGACCAGGGGCTCCCTCTTCCCCTGCTGCCCCCTGCCCCCTGCCCCGCTGTTGCTCCATTCCTGAATCTCTGTCCATCCGTCGTTAGCCTGCCTGCCTGCCTTCGTATTTCTCCCTTTCTTTTCCCGATCCCCGCTTCTGCGTCCTTGTCTCCAGCTCTTGGGGTCCCTCTGCTTCCCCGCTGGGCTCTCCACCCGTCTGTCTGCGTTCTGCCTCCTGGTGGCACTCGGACCCCGCCCGGCTCCGGGAACGGGCGCTCTGACCGCGGGAGGTGGTGCGGGTGGGCTCAGACCCCACAGCCGCCAGACATGACTTAAGTGGGAGGTGGAAGGCGGGGCGGTGTTGGGCAGGCGGCGGCAGGAGGGGAAGGGGCTGGGGGGCTTGCGGTTCCCCTCGGTCCCTGCCCCAGGTCAGCGGTGGTGACTCATAGCTCCTGGGGTGCGGAGGCGGGGGGGGGGGGGGGGGGGGAGGGGGCGCTGGAAGGGGGCTCCGGGTGTGGGAATCCAGGCTAGGGTGGGGGGTGGAGAGATCCAGAGACAATGAGAGACGGAGAAAAGTCTCAGAAGGAGGCAGAGACGCGGGGGAGGGGACCGGGAGGAAGGGGCGAGGGGTGGGGGGCGGACGAAGGCAGAGGTTGGCATTCCGGAAGTCGCTTTAAAAAGAGACAAAGCGCTGTTTTGATGTCCCCTCTGCTTGGCCCAAGCCCGGCTTCCTCTCGTAGTAGGTGGCACCCCCACTCCCCATCTCCCAGGGGGCTCAGCTGCACCCGGACAGGGGGCCCCCTCGCTGGGCTGCCCGCAGTCCCTGCCCCCAGAGCTGGGCTCCTGACCACAGCCCCACTCCCGCCCCGGCTCTGCCTCCTCTTCCTCTGGGCCATCGCCGGCCCCTCCCCCCACATCCTTCCTCTCCCTTGGACGCCTCCCTGCTGCTCCGAGCCCCGGGTGCCTGGGACACACGTGTCACCGCGCGCGCGTGCGTGTGCGACCTCCCACCCCTTCCCTCGCTGGTCTTGGAGATTGCTGATGGGAACAGGATTCAGATCGCACGCAGATGTTCACTTGTGGTCCGAGCGCACCTTAGCGATGGACCCTCCCTACCCGGAGTCGCTGGGGGTGGCACCGCAGATGTCAGATTGGGGGTTTTTCACATCTGAGGCGCTCTGCCCTGTCCCATGCACTCCTCACACTCTGAGTGGAAGCTCGGGGCAGACAGAGGCGCAGAGAGAGGCCCAGAACCTCACGCAGGCCCACAGAGGGCCAGGGGCCGACAGGCACAGAGCGGAAAAGGGCTGGAAGCACACAGGGTAGGAAGGCCCTGCGAGGGCGCTGGGCTAAGAATTAGCTAGACAACGGGAGCAGGCACGACACTTACCGTCACCTGGGCATGTCTCGGGGCCACTGGAGTGCTTCTGCGGTGTTCACTGGTTTCCGTATCCATCATGGGGGCTGGCGCTGTGGCTGTGCCCTATGGGCTGAGCCAGAGCTGGCATCCCATATGGGCGCCGGTTCGAGTACCGGCTGTTCCACTTCTAATCCAGCTCTCTGCTATGGCCTGGGAAGCAGTAGAAGATGACCCAAGTCCATGGGCCCCTGCACCCATGTGGGAGACCTGGAAGAAGCCCCTGGCTCCTGGCTTCGGATTGGCCCAGCTCCGGCTGTTGCAGCCATCTGGGGAGTGAACCAGCGCATGGAAGACCCCCACCCCTGTCTCTCTGCCTCTCCTTCTCTCTCTATGTAACTCTGACTTTCAAAAAAAAATAAAATAAATCTTTAAAAATATCTCTATATATCCCACAAGGTACTTACCATTTTACAGATTGATTGATTTGAAAAAGAGAGAGAGAAAGAGAGAGACCTTCCATCTGCTGGTTCACTTTTTTTTTTTTTTTTTTTTTTGACAGGCAGAGTTAGACAGTGAGAGAGAGAGACAGAGAGAAAGGTCTTCCTTCCGTTGGTTCATCCCCCAAGTGGCTGCTGTGGCCGGTGCGCTGCGCCAATCTGAAGCCAGGAGCCAGGTGCTTCTCCTGGTCTCCCAT